CCACCTCCCAGTGGTACAGCCACTCACACGGTCACCCAGGTGTCTGAGGACAACAGCTACCACCCGCGTGCCCTGCTCTCCTCTGTCCCCTCTCCTTTTTCCCACTTTTCTTCTCTGTATGGAAGGTTCTTGCCTTCCATACAGAGCCAGAGGCCACTGTCCCACTCCTTGGAGGACCCTTTGAGACTGTGTAGGGCTTCCAGGCACTCGCCAAGCCAAGGCTAGCCCGCTCTGCTTTGCTTTAAACCATTCCTTCCTTGCTCAGTAAACCCAGAGTCCCCTGCTGCTTCCGTATACCCTGTTGTGCCTACTTTACTGTGATTGTATCCCTCACGCTCAGGCAAAGCCCTCCACCTTGTTACGGTTTAGACACGAGAATGGCCAAAGAATGAAGACTGCACTTGACACCAGAGGTCATAACAGCCCCAGCCCCTTCTCTTTCAGAACCAAAGCTGGGGTCACTTGCCCCAGTACCCTTCTTTTGCCTTTGCCCTACCCCCACGGGCATCCTTTCTGTGTGGAAATACTCTGCCCTCCTGATTAACTGGATTCTGGAGCATACAATTGCCTGGGATACAGTGTGTGGGTTAGACAACTGTTACCTAACCCCTTGTTGCTAAGCTCAGGCCAGAGCCTTGTGGGAGATGAGCTCTTTGTCTACAGCCCATGGGGCTGAGATGATGCCAGTCTAGACACAGGTAGGACACTACAGCCAAGGCTCCATTCTCTACCTCTCTCAGCCTCGGCTCCTTCGGCCATGCTGTGCACTGCCCAAGAAGGTGTACTCAGGGTTTGGGTGTCAGCCCCAGCCAGGGACAGTAACAGTCAGCAGGAAGTAGAACTCTGCCATCGGGCTCCAGACTATGTGGAGCCAGCACTGGGATGTGGGCATGGGCCATGGGAGTTGGCACACATCTCCCAGCTACCTAGCACACTCTTCCCTGCATTCGCCACATCCAAGAGATGAGAAACATGACCCTGGGTCCCTTGGCGCCAGGTGAGGCAATGGAAATACAGTACCCTTAACCTGATCCCTGCATCTGCGTCTTGTTCTAGATGCAGTTCGTACTTTCTGTCTTTATTTTCTGTGGGGCAGAGGGCTCTGGAATAAACACAGAAGTTCAGAATACATGCCACTGCAGCCCTCTGAGGATCCTCAGAGAATCAGGGGCTTTCCTGAGCTAGGGTGCTGAGGTTATGGTAATGCCTTCCCCACCTCTCCTTTTCCACCAGGGACAGGTGCCAGGGTGTCACAAACAGGTCATCAGGCAGATCTTACTGGCCCTTGACCCTCGAATACTCTGGAGGTCCTCTCTGACCTCCCTACAAGCCTGGTTTCCAGTGTATACCTTCCCTCTCTCTTACGGCTCTCCTGATAGCCCTACCCTCATCCCAGAGCTGGCTTGCTATCTGTAGCTCGTGAATAATTCAGCATGTTCAGCAAAAGCTAAATCAGATCCATAGCGATACTGTGATCAAGAGGCCCCCTCGGGGTGGCTGGAAAGGCGAACCCTGCCCTGGAAAGACAGGGACCCTGTAATATTAACGTCATTATATAAGGTTTCATAGCCTCCTGAGACGGTGACTTCAAACCCAAATGTTACTGTGGCCCCGTTCCTGCCTACTTATTTCTTGGGGACTCAGTGGCCTTGTAGGCATGCATCTGGGACGTGCTGGTGCCAACAGTCCGTCAAACAGCATGCCATAGTTTGCAGAATGCTTTTGTGCATATTTCTTGTTTAATCATATCGGCTCCAGTGGTAAGCTCAGAGCCCTGGAGTCAGCGGGAGCCTCCAGGAATTGTGTTTCAGTAATGTTCTCAATTATTTGTGGCAAATGGGGTTGGATAGAGGGTACTTTGTGTCCTAAAAATTGTGCAGAAAGGAGATGCCTTTTCCTCTGGGTCACTTTCTTCAGGACCTGTTCCCCGCAAGCCCTCCTCTGGGGAGCAGAGGACAGCAAAGGAATGAATTTGTTTGGCCTCATCATGAGCCAGATATATAGCTGTTTCCACTGACCAGGTTCCCAGGAATTACAAGGCCTTCTCCCCCACCCCCACCCAGAGTATCTGAGACATTAGATCATCCAAGGCCCAGGGTAGAGGAGACGCCTCCTCCCTCCATGAAAGCAACTGAAAGGTCTCATGCTTACACGCCATGCTGTGCTGTGGCCTCCTGCTCGATAGACCTTCTGTTTGCTTCTGCAGCTCCTAGGGCTGTATGTGTCTGTGTGCTCCCAGAGTGCACCTGCCTTGATCACCGCAGTTCACGGTGAACAATACCAACCATTCTCTTATCTCCCCAGGGGAAAGCAGTTCCTAATGGTGACTTGGTTAGGTCTGGGACAATGACCTCCCTGGCCCTTGTTTTCAAGGGGAGGCATGATGAACATCAGGGCAGCTGTTAGGCTCCCAAGAAGGAGCCCTCACTGAGGCTTTGCTCACCACACACCATATGCAGCCCAGGATATTTTTAAGGCCTTACCTTGCCTTCTAAGATACTAAATTTAGTTGCTTCTCACCATTGTACTCAGGCTTTCCACTCTGTAGGATGTGTGGACTCTGCTGACTGAGTTTTTAATTTTATTTGTGTTTTGTGGTACTAGGGAAGCAAACCCAGGGCTTCTTGCATGCTAAGCAAGTACTCTACCACTGAGCTATACCCAACCCTGTTTTTATTGTATTTTTTAAGAGAAAAAAAGTAAATAGTATGACTTTCTGCAGGAGGGAGAGGACAATAATATAAATAAGGCAGAGGAAAATAAGGAAGTAAGGGCTTGATATCAAAATTAAATGACAAGGAAGTATGGTGTGTAAGAAGAAGCCAAATGAGGAAGAAGCCAGGGTGAAAGAGAGCTGAACCCTGCCAGGCATGGAGAGCAGTGTGACTTCAGGCCCTGGCTCCACCAGCTCCCTGCTCAAGGACAATGTGGGCCTGTCTATTGCCCTCAGACTTAACTCTGTGTGGAGAAGATGAGGCCAGACACCCCCAGCTGTAGCTCAGCTGCTGAGCCTGTAAACCAGTGGTAACCACCTGCCTGCCGTGGTGCTGTCTCTTCCTCAGCCATACCATAGAGGAAGTGACCAAGAGGGATGACCGAGACTTACAGGAAGTACACGCAGTGGCGGTCACCCAACAGCACATTTTCTTTGCAAAAGGAAAGTTGCTTGGTGGTTTGTGTCCTTTCTGGGGCATTACTTGAATTACTTGTAGTGGCTCCCCCTGTTTGTTCCCCTCTCAACTTCCTTTCAGACGACAGCTACTTTTCTGTCCCAGGCTAAGTCTTCGAGGTACCGTCTAGAATACTGTGATGTGTGCATGGGTTTACACATTCACATGTGGTGATGGGGGCTCAGTTCTAGCAACCTGTTTCAGTGAGGCTGGCAGTGTGTCAGCCTCTGTGGATACAGCCACATAGCTTCCGAGGCTCAGCTTACATTCTCCTCCCATGCCCCGCTTGGCTTCTTGGCCTCATCCTGCAGACCCCTCGGTGGGTACACCTGACTCCTTTGTGGCTGGGAAGAAGTATGGCTAGTACCTGTCCAGGCTACATAGCTTGTGGGTAGCAGGGTAAGAATCTCTACCAGCCATTCTGACTCCCAAGCACTGCCAGGCTACTGGCAAGTTTATTCAGCATCCCTGGAGCCCATTCTGTACATATCTTCCTCCCAGACATATTCACCTTCAACCCTTACCCGTTCACATCCCTCCCCTTGTAACTGTGAATACTCTCAACCAAAGTTTTAGAGCAACTATGGAACCAAGCTTGAAACCCAAGGTCATAAATGTTCCCCGCGGTTCCTCTTGGCAGATTCAGGGTCTCTGCTCATGGAGAAGGACAAGGACAACATCACAGAGGAAAGTGCTCTCTGCCTGCTGGCTTGCCAGGCGACACTGCCCTGATCACCATGTGTTCCTTTTCTCTTAGAGACTGCTAGTTTGTCCCTTGACCCCTTCCCGCCCTCGTCCTGTCTGACACTGTGATGAGTTGCTCCAGGAGTGAAGCTGAAATGTCCCATTGGGGGGCAGTTTTCCCCATGGCCATCTTAATGCAGTGTGGCTAGCGAAAAACTGTTTCTGCTGTTCTCAGCTTTCTGGATCAGAAAGTTGTCATTCAGGGACAACTCCACAATTTAAAAAAAAATGTGTGTGTGTGTGTGTGTGTGTGTGTGTGTGCATGGGAAGAAAACCCCAATCTTAGCCTACTCTTAACCTCTGTCTCCTGTGGCCACTGCCCCCTCTTCCTCCTTTTTTTTTTTTTGTTTGTTGTTATTGTTGATGTGGAAAAGGTTATGGGCCAGTGAGATGGTTCAGGGGGTGAAGTGAAGGTTCCTGTTGCCAAGCTTGATGACCTGAGTTATAGAAGGAGAGAGTGAGCACTCAATGCCAGCAAGATCTGCTCCGCCCTCCACATGTGTGCTGTGGCATGTGTACCCCCCACACACACACATACCCTACACACAAAGACAGATAAACAAATAAAGTGTAACTTAAAAAGGAAAAAGGAAAGGGAAGTTCAGAAAGAGACAGACAAGGGGGCGCCTCAGAGGACATAGGATTTTCCCAGGCAATCATGGGAAGTGTAAGACCTTAAGGCCAGAAGGCATGCTGTGCTGGTGTATATACTGGGCCCACTACACTCTCCCAGCTAAGCAGACCCAAGGTGGTCCAGTCTAGACCCCTGCACCTCTGCTCACGTGGGTCTGGATCCACCGGAACATCTGTCATCACTCATATACTGTCCTCATTATCCATACTCTGGAGGACGAGGGCTCCCTCCCAATGATGCAGACTGAAAGTAAACTCGGCTCTTTGCAAGTAAGAGCATGGTGGGAAATACCAAGCAGTTATATAGACTTGCTGTTGTTCGTTGAAATTGTGAAATTCGATGTGAACCACTGAAGTGGTTTGGCCAATAAATATGTACATATATATGTATGTAACAATTTTGGAAGGAGGGTTATATGGGAGGGTTTGGAGAGAGAAAAAGGAAAAGAAAAAATATATAATTATATTATAATCTTGAAAAATAAAGAAATTTTAAGAATCTTAGCTTGGGGGTTGGAGAGTTAAGAGCACTTTGCTCTTCCAATGAACCTGAGCTTGGTTCCCAGCGCCCACATGAGGTAGCACTCAACCCCCTGTAGCTCCCCCTTCAGGGAATTCAGTGCCCCTGGCCTCCACAGGCACCTGCTTTCACACCCACATACCCCCACACACACATAATTTAGAATTTTTTTAAATTTAAAAGTCTTAACTTGGTGAAGCCCAAAAGGAGGGGACAGGGAAGGGATGTCTCAAGGGTAAGAATCTCAAGCCAGACTTGTTGCTACATAGGATGGACCTGCTGCAGAGAACTTCCATTACAGCCCAGTGAGATAGTCAGCTGCCATTACACTGTTAGTGTCGAAGGAGACCAGCCTCATGTTGGCCACAGGAAGAGGCCCAGATAACCATAAGGGTTACTCCTTTCCTTCCTATAGTTTAATATGAACAGCAAGACTTTATATTAATGACTGTTATGCAAAAGGAACAGTACTTGTCAAAATACTGTATAAACAGAGAGGTTGTTTATGAAAGTAGGAACTGCCTAGAGTTTTTCCTGATCCTATAGACCAGAGATGGTCCCAGTCATGGGAGACCCATGTAATATGTCTAGCCAGCCTCCTCAGAAACCCCTAAGTCATCAGCTGACACATGTTTGTACAGTTTCCAGGACCCTTGGGTGGGGGATTCCTGGTCTCGGTGATTTTGGCTGCAAACCTTGGCACTGGCTCCTAGAGATAGCACGGGGCCCTTCTTATCTCTTGGAACCTTCTTGAACTTGGGACTGCCCCATGAGCATGATCCACATTGACCGTCGGTATTTAAGCCCTGTGTGCTTCTGGGGACTCACATGAGTGCAGAGTCTCAGAATGGACATTCTGCCTTGGGGAGCTTGCTGGTAGAGAGACTGGTGGACCCAGGACTGGCTTCTCCATCTCCTTCCTCACCACTTGCTGTTATCGACGGTGGCCCTCTGGCCCCCTCTGCTGACCGACAGGATTTCCTACTGGGACTGCACAGATGAAGTCCAAGGAAAAAAGGACTGCTGTGAGTTTGTGTCTTTGTTGTACCCTGGGTGGTTCCTGCCTGGGCAGTGCTGGGGGACAGGACGTGGGGGGAAGCTGAAGCTGGGAGGGAGGCACAGAGGTGTCCAGAGCAGAGTGGCTTCATGGGACACAGTCTCAAGACAGAGGGATTCCCTTATTGAGGCTGCTGATGTCTCCAGGCCATTATTGGGGATTCTGGGTTAGAAGTGACTGTGCTTTAAGCCACAGAACAGGGAGAGAGGAGGAGAATCCTGAGAGGGACCCCTTCTGGAAGACATACTTCCATTACGAGCTGAAACTGGGATTTGGTGCAGTTGAGCGGCTGTGGGAGGGTTTCTGATCACCGGGGAGATTCTTAGATGAGGAAATGGGAGGAACTGGTCAGTGTCTGTCTGGTGGGTGAACAGTTACTTGCCCTATATTTTCCTCTGACTTCCCACCTCCTGCATGCAGCTAGGCCAGTCACATAGGACATCCTCCTACACACTGGCCTGGGGAGAGGTCACCCCGCTGGATAGACCTCCATGTTTCCTGCCAGATGGGGAGGAGGAAATCTAGAGCAATCCATCCCTAATCCCTGGCTGGGCCTCTCTCAGACTGGAGATGGCGGCTGCAGAGCCTGGGAGTTCGGGCACACCTGCTCTCAGGCCCCGATTCCCAACAGCCAGCCCAGTGCTGCCCAGGGCCTGGGAGCCTGGGAGCCTGACACTGCCCTAGGACAGCTGGGGCCTTAAAGCTCCTGGCGCCTCTTCGCCAGCACGGCCTTGGGAAACGGTATCCGCACAGGTGAGGCTCTGGGTCGGGGAAGGAAAGACTTTTCACGTGGGACATGGAGAGGGGTTGTAGAATGAAGGAGAGCCGTTTCTAGAGCTCGTCAGCCCCCAAGTGCCCCAGAACCAACCTCTCTCCTGCCCAGTTACAGAAAACTCTAGATCCAGGAGAGCTGGCATGCCGTTAAATACAAGGGGTGCTTCTAGTCATGGTGGCTTTGCATTCAGAAGCGGTGCAGGACACGGAGAGGTTCTGGGAGCATTGACCCCCATGGACCAAAGAGAGCTCAGGACCGTAGTGCTCGGCTACCGGAGAATCAGAGGATGGAAAATGAAAGACTCTAAAATGACAGACCAGCTCCAGCGTCTCAACCATGAGTCTGTGCTCTGCAGAGAAGGAAGGAGAGCAGTGGGCGTTTATGTGGACAAAGGAGCTTTGTCCTCGGGAGGGCCAGGACTGGAGGGAGGATGGAGTTACAGGAGCAGCGCTAACAGAAAGGGTCACAGCCCAGGTGGAGCTGAGACCAGGCCCTCCATCAGCTCCGCAGAGTTGTCCCTTAGGCGCAGGGCGGGCTTGTGGGCTGCAGAAGGTGATGAGACGCAGCTGGCTACACTTCTGCCTTGCGATGGATGGGTGCTGCATGGAGAAGGGGTGTGTCTCCTCATCTGTGCGCAGTCTGCACTCAGCAGTCCCCTTGTAGAAGGGAGAAGTGGGAGGGGGCGTGCTTTGCCTCCTCGCGTGGCTGGAGACCTGCTGTGGGACTGTTTCCACCTCCCTCTCACATAGACAAAGCTCTTTGTGTGCCCTGTTGAGTAGCTGAGCGTCTGACCTCCTGACCCCTCGAGACAGGACTCTAAGGCCTCCAGGGTATTTCCCCCACACCTTCCCGTTGCCCACCTGGGAGTGCTTGGGTCAGTAAGATGACCCATCCAAAGCTGGATTAAACATTTCTATGCACCCCATATGTTCCCACTGGGAAGAAAGAACCACCAGCCAAATAAGGTGGTATCTGCTGTATTGGAAGAGGAGCAGCCCTGACTTCAGGACCTGGGGCTGGGTGGGGTAGTCTTCCCCTCTGCCCTGGCCATAATGTCAGGTGCCTTCTCTCAGTTTGGCCTTTGAGGCTGGAGGGTTTTAGCTGGCCACATGCTTTCCTCTCCATCCTGAGCTGGATTTATCTTCTTTCCCCCTGGGACTTAAGTTTTATTAAGGAAATCAGTGTTCTCCATCCCAAGAGACTTTATAGAATAAGAGTCTCTCTGGGACAGCGGGGAGCTGGTCCAAGCACCTCTGCTGAATCACTGCCGAGTCACTAGTCCTGACTGCCTTGCCCCACCCCCAGCCTGCACATCCACTGTGCTCTGACACGGTGGAAGCCAGGACCCGGCATTCAGGAGCAGCTCTTCTGTGTGTGGCCAGGCACATAGATGGATCAGAGTGAACACGGGGCCTAAAGGGGGGATTAGGAGACCGAAAGATCTGTTTATTTGCTTCTTTTGTCTTTTTCGTCATCCTCTCCCTCCTCCCTCCCCCCTCCTAAGAGTAGCCTTACTGTTGTCTTTCCAACTGGACATGCCAGCCCACTGTGGGTACCCTGGGCTGCCTGCCCCAAGGTAAGAGGAGATTATGGGTCTACTTAGGAACACAGACAGGAAGCATGGACTCTCACAAACAATGGTTATTTCTTTCTTTCATTTAAAAAAAAAAGACTTTATTTATTTATTTATTTATTTATTTATTTATTTATTATGTATGCAGTATTCTGCCTGCCTGTATCCTGGAAGGCCAGAAGAGGGCACCATATCTTATTATGGATGGTTGTAAGCTACCATGTTGTTGCTGGGAATTGAACTCAAGACCTCTGGAAGAGTAGCCAGTGCTCTTAACCGCTGAGCCATCTCTCCAGCCCAGCAGTGGTTATTCCTATGGCCCATGTGCATACACTGCTAAAGAAAGAAAATGAGGATTCACATAGCAACTACCTTTTCCTCCCTTTTGAAAGTGTCTCTTAAACTGGCACTTTCTGTCCTGAAAGCACCTGCCATTTGCCTGCCAGCTTCCAGGATTCCAGCTGCTGGACTGCCATGCAGTGGGGAGGGCAAGTGTCCCACAGCCAGGTTAACACAAGGACTCAGGCCCAGGAGGAGGTGAGAACCGCAGAGGGCAATGGGAGCCAAGGCTGGGGAAGCCCTGATCCAGCCGTTCCTGTCATGTGGCAGTGTGCCCAATCCAGGTTCAGTTTGTGTTGCTGAAAGCAGGCAGGGAGACAGGTCTGTGCACTGCCTGAGTTAAGTAGACAGGTGCCCAGCTCTTCATGGACCGTGGGGAGATCTCACTGAAGCCAAGACAGAAAGAAGAAAAACTGGCCCCAGAGACTCAGAAAACAGTCCAGCTCTGTCTTCTCCAGAACCTTCATCACTGCGTCTTAAACTTCAGTCTATAGCTGCAGCCCTGGCTAGTAAGCTATAGCCAGGACCATGTCATGGATTCCCCAGCCACCTAGCATGTGTGTGAGCCCCGCCCCCTCCTTGCCAGATCTTTCATTAATGTCTGCTCAGCCTGTTCATGGGGTTTCATCCCAAGTCAGGTATTTATAGTGACCAACTTTCCTCAGTCGCAGGAGTGGGGTCACTGTGCCATGGGGCTTCTGCCCTAGAGGTGGTACTGGCAGCTGGTGTAAGCTGAGGAAAACTCTACACCGTTTGGAAAGAGGAGCGGTCTTTGCAGCCAAGCCCTCCTCCAAACAGGGGGCCTGAATTTTCCACCCGCCACTGGCAGGCACTGAGTCACTGCTGTGCCTCTCCTAGTGCCTAGTCTGGGAGAGAGCTGCTCTGGAGGGATTCAAGGTCCGGGTACCCACTGTAAACCACTTTGATGTGGCTGGATCCCTCCCTCCCATGTTCATGTGCACGACCATTACCTCCTCCGAGTTCCAAATCATCTTTATGATCCTCAGGGAGACCCAATACCCATTAGGGTCTCACTCCCATTTCTTTCCTCCCCCAGTCCCCAGCAACTGCTCATCTGTAGACTTAGCACTGTGGAAGCTCCCATAGTGGGACCATTCAGCATGTAGCCTCTACTGAGCAAACTGCTTTTTAGACTCGTCTATGTTCTGGCATTATCAGAATCTCATTCCTTGTTGTAACCAAACAGTCTTCCATTATGTGGAGTCTCGTTTTGCTAGCCATTCACTGGTTTAAATGGCTGTCTCTGAGCTGTGCCTACCCTTGGCTATTGAGAAGTGTGCTACTCTGAACTTGTACCAGTGTCTATTTCAATACCATTTTCAATTCCTTTGGTATTGTCATAGTTAGCTTCAACTGTCACTTTGACACAGCCCAGAGTCCCCTGGAAGAGGAACTTCAATGAGGAATTGCCTAGGTCAGATTAGTTTCCTTCCTTCCTTTCTTCCTTCCTTCCTTCCTTCCTTCCTTCCTTCCTTCCTTCCTTTCTTATTTTTGTTTTTTGTTTTGTTTTGTTTTGAGACAAGGTTTCTCAGCATAGTCCTGGAGCTTGCTCTGTAGACCAGACTGGCCTTGAACTCATAAATCCACCAACCTCTGTCCTCTGAGTGCTGTGTGTGCCTCCATGTCCTGGCTGAGGTAATTGCTTAATTGCTAATTGATGTGGGCAGTGCCATCCCTAGGCAGGAGGACCTGGGCTAAGAAAGGAAGCTGAGCAAGCCAGAGGCTCCTGCATCGTGCAAGCAGCATTTTCCCGTTGGTTTCTGCTTCAGCCTTGGCTTCCTTCTTGAATGGTCTATAACCTGTTAGATGAAATAAGCCCTTTCTTCCCCCAAGATGGTGTTGGCCATGCTGTTTATCACAGCAACAGGAAGTGAACTAGAACAGGTGCACACTCGGAGTTGAATTGGACAGTTATGAGGTAGTTCTATATTTAACGGCAAGGGACCACCATTCTGTTCCCCTGCATTGGCTGCACCATCTCACCTTCTTACCAGCAAAACATTAGGATTCCAGTTTCTACATGTGCTTACTATGCTGATTTGCTTTGTTAAGAACGTCGCTGGGCAGATGTAATGGCTCAGAGGTTCAAGGCACTTGCAGCCAAGCCTAACAACCTGAGTTCAATCCCCAGGACCCACATGGGAGAGAACTGACCCCCAAAAGTTGTCCTCTGACCTCCACACATGTGCCCCTCCAAAATAAACAAAAGTAACTTTAAGAACAAGAAATTTACTTTAAATAATGTGGTCTCCTATTGAATATTCAGTGTCTTAGTCTGTATTTATTTTTAGAAGCATAAATGACTGTATATTTTACATCTATAGCCATAATGCAATTGATCATTATATTTCCACAGTGTATTAGTTGCTACAGAACAGTGAGAAAAGGTTCTGATTTCAGAAATATACAGTTTGAGGGGAAAAAACTAAAACCTTTTGCTTTCAATGCAAATTATCAATTGTTTTCATTTATCTATAGAATAATTTGTGAATAATTGTCTACATGGTGTATATGATAGTGCACTTTTTATTGAGAACTTCATATATGAATATAATATTTTCTACCCCCATTCCCTTCTCTCGCTCCCCCACAACTTTTCCCTCCAAACTTCATGTCCTCCTCCTTTTTAAAACTCTATGAATCCGCTTAGTACTGCGTGGGTATAGAATCATCTACTGCAGTGTGAGGAGCATTTGGGGACCACATCCCCGAAGAAGACTTACTCTCCCTCCCCCTGCAGCATCAGTTAGGCGGGGGATTTCATGAGCCCCTCCCTCGCCCATGCTGGGATTTGGGCTGGCTTTATCTTGGCTGCACATCTCTTGCATGCCAAGCCAGCCACTGCGAGTCGTGTGTGCAAGGGCCCTGTCGTGTCCCTGCAGATGTCCACTGCCTCTGGCTCTTGCCTTTGCCCCCTCCCCCAGGGTAATCTCTGAGCCTTCGGGGATGGGGAGTGATGTAGCCATTCACTTAGAGCTGTACAGAGCTGAGAATCCCACAGCCTCTGGTTGACCAGTTATAGGTCTCCGGATTAATCTCTATCTGCGAACAAAGAAGCTTCCCTGATAAGGGTCAGAGATGCACAGACTCTGATTCAGGACTGGTCCACATCCTGGATCTGCACTTTCCAAGGTAGCTGCTGGGAAATCTGTATTTATTTTTAAGGAACTGTTGTATGTCCCTTACTTCATATCTCATTTTATCCTCTGAGAATCCCTTGAAGGAAGTAGGGTTCCCACTTCTTCTAGACCATCTGAAGGCACACAACTGATAGCTGACCAAACCAGGGTTCCAGACTGCTGTCAGACACCAAACTAGGCCCATTCCAGTGCCCCTCACAGGCTTGTATCCTATCACTATTTTTAATAGAAATTTATTTTATTTTATTTTGTGTGTGAATGTTTATCTACATGTGTGGATGTATATATGCATACCTGGTGCACCCAGAGGTCAGAAGAGAACATCAGATCTCCTAAACTGGAGGTACAGCTGGCTGTGAACCATCATGCAGGTGCTGGGAACCAAACCCAGGTCCCTTGCAAGAGAAGCAAGTGCTCTTAACCACTGAGGCATCTCTCCAGCTCCACCCAGTTTTTTTAGGTGCTAGGATTTGAACCCAAGGTCTTTGTATATGCTGGGCAAGTACTGAGCCATTTAGCTGCATCCCAGCCCCCATTCTTCTTTGGCAAATCTTATCCATGTGCGTTCTCACCACTTGAGGAACTCTCTTCTTTCTTTAACATTCCTTTCCCTGTTAAAATATAATCCTTCTTTGTGCCCCTGTGGCTGTCTGCCAGATCCTTGGCTCCCTCTATCCCTTGCCCCGTCTCCCTTCAGTCTTAAAGGGGTCTTGGTGGTGGCTGACCTCTGTAATCCCTCCACTGTGGAGGCCAGACTACATAGTGAGTTCCAAGCCAACTGAGGCTTGTGTGTATACATCCTTTCTCCGTGTATATATTTCATTCTTTTATGTGTGAACCCATATACATGCACAGTGTGGGCAGAGGTCAGAGGCCAGCTCAGGGGAGTTGGTTCTCTCCTTCCCAGGTGGAGAGCAAGTCATTAGTCCTGGCAGCAATGCCTTTTACCAGTGCTAAGCTGTTTCACCTGTCCGTAATTCCCTTTTCCTCGCTTACACAGGATGTAAGACCCCCTCAGTCTCACTATAGCAAATGCCAGCATAATTGCTCGAGGGTGAGGCCAGGTGTCTCGGGACCACTGACAGAAATCCTGAGACCACTCGAGGCAGGAATGTCTCAAGCTGCAGATGTGCAGGGACTTCCCAGCTGTCCAAGGATCAGGCCCTGGGGCTAGGTGCCCACTAGGATTCAGATCCTATGCCATTCACTCATCCTGTAGTCCTGGGCCAGCCCTTAATTTTCTCTTCTGTAGAATGGGAATGGCAGTGTTGCCTGGCTCTTGGGTTGTTACCGGGGTTGAAGGGATGAAAGTACAAATCCTGGCAAACCAACCACACCTGGCACAGAGCAGCAGATGGGGACGGTGTACCATTGCTGCCTTATTCTGCTGTGGAAGCCATTAGAGGGCAAAGGGAATTGATGCCACTTCTCTGGCAGCCTAGCAAGGTGCATCCATGGAGGATGATGGCCTGTGACTGGAGATATGCCCTCATGAGCCACACAGTTTATACCCCCAGCCAAAACACAGTTCTCAGGCAGGATGCCCAAGTTGGGGTCTGGATAGAGGATGGAGAAGAGTGTGTATGCAGGGGTGGGGTGATGGTAGTCTCCGCTACCTTCGGGTGTCAAGAATGTCCTCACAGAATGGTGGTACCACATGCCTATAATCTCAGCACTCGGCAGGCAGAGGCAGGTGGGTCTCCGTGAGTTCAAGACCAGCCTAGTTCTACAGAACGAGTTCCAGGACAGCTAGGACTGTTACACGGAGGAACCCTGTCTTGAAAAACAAAAACAAAAACAAACAAACAAGAATCTTGCTTTTAATAAAGCTGGCCAGTGGTAGCACAGGCCTTTAATCCCAGCACTAGGGAGGCAGAGGTAGGTGAATCTCTGAGTTTGAGGCCAGCCTGATTTACAGAGTGAGTTCTAGGACAACCAGACCCATAGAAACCCTGTCTCAGAAAAGCAAAACCTCCCAAAAGAAAAGAAAAAAAATGAAATTTAAAAAAAGTCTACCCTCATTCCTGGGCACTGTACAGCATCCACTCTGAGACAGATGCCTCGTGGTGAGAGGAGCCTGGCAGGCAGACAATGTGCTGTCCCTCCCTAAGTAAGGCATTGCAGCTCTCCCCGCATCCCGCACCCGTCCCCATCTGTTCTGTCCACTGGCACCATTCACAAAGAGTGAATGGCAGCATGCAGATTGCCAAACACATCATCATCAATGCCCATTACCTGCATATTCTTTGCCCCAGGAGGAGATTAAGGACCATCTGTGTTAAGGCCAAGTTCTTTGAGAGTAAAGGCCGTGTGTTATATAGAGAACTTACTTTGTACAGTTCATCAATATTGAGTAATATGCTTTGATAGTCCAGCTTGGCTGTAGGCATCACTCCCCAGGAGGAAAATCTACCTAAATTCAGATCTGGCATTTATCATGTGCCTATGGGATGCCATCCAGGAAACCCTCCTATGGAACTTGAGAGTAGGTATGAGTACACCCATTGTACAGGCAGAGACACAGAGGCTCAGGAAAACCAGAGAGACTGCAGGGAGCAACAGGCGCAGGAGGCTTAAGTCCACCAAGAGGAGACAGACCTCGGGATGGATGGCTTTGGGAGGACATGGTTTGGAGGAGAGTTCCGAGGCACACACACCTGCTGGGAGGGTGAGGGGACATAAAGGGACACCCAAAGCCCGGAAGAAAGCCCTTACTTCAGGAGATGGTCCTCTTGGCATCCTTAGGGGACCCTAAAAGGAGCCCCTCCCTGCCTCCTGAGTTTGCCAGCGCTGTTGCCATAGGCGGTGTTCTCCAGTAACTTCTGCCTGTAGTTAGCTATGTCTGCTTCCAGCATGTGTGACAAGGCTGCTTTCTTTTGTTTAGTCCCATCTACAACAAGGCGTTCACCTCTCCCCTCCACCCACCCCGTGATCTGATCCAGCTTGCTTCTGTTGTGTAATGATAAGGGACTCAGCTGCCAACGATGGCCTGGGGTTAGTGGGCTCCAGGCCTGCCCACAGATCTATCTCAAATTCAGTATCTTCCCTGCCCTTTCCCTCTGATCCCCTGCCTCAACTTTTCTCAGCTCTCTCCCCTGTTTGTCTGAGTTTGTACCACACTGACACACTCAGAAAGCCCGCCCGCCTGCCCGCCTGCCCGCCCGCCCGCCCGCCCGGTGGGGAGAGGAGAGGCTCTTGCCTTCCTTCCTTCCTGCACGTTCTCTTCCTTCTCAGGTCTTCCAGACTACTGGCCTCTAGTGGCCTCTGAGTTACCTCTGGGTCTTTAGACTTCAAGGACCTGCCCAGTAGGGTGGGTGGGTGTGCTCTCTTTCCTCAGTTCTGGGAGAGTGGGAGAGATCGAGTGTTCCCACCGTCATGCGTCAGAGGAGACTGCTGATACCCTCGGAGAGCAGGAAGGTAACAAAAGGGCTGTGAACAGGGCTAGGGATCCGTGCAGCTGTGTTAGTGAAGACGGGGTGCGAGGCTGGAAGGCACGGGCCTACAAGTGGGCTTTCATAGCTCCGAAGGAGACGCATGGTCAGACAAGAGCCTAATTAAGAGATCGAATCCAGAGAGACAGCTGAGCCCATCTCTGGCCTCAGGGCCGCAGGGTCTGTCTTTTCATAGTGGTGTGTCCCCAAGTTACTTGCTAGAACACCCTGCTCCAAAGGCAAAGTAGATGTGCCTAGATTTCATTTCAGAGAGAAAGCTCTTCATAAGGGTAATGCTGGCCTGCAGCTGTGGGACCTGCTGTAGCAGCTTAGGCTCTTCCTTCATCCTGCATCTGTTGACCAGGTGGAGAAGCCACACCCAAGGGTGGCCGGGGCTACACTGACAACCCTGCTGAGCTCCCTCCCGTGTCTCACCATTGGTTCTCCTCCCCAGGGTGACAAGGGAGATCTTGTGGCCCTGAGCCTCCCCTCTGGCCCTGGCCATGGTGACACTGATGGCCCCATCAGTCTGGACGTGCCAGATGGAGCGCCCGACCCCCAGCGGACTAAAGCTGCCATTGACCACCTGCACCAGAAGATCCTGAAGATCACCGAGCAGATCAAGATCGAGCAGGAGGCACGGGATGATAACGTGGCGGAGTACCTGAAGCTGGCCAACAATGCGGACAAGCAGCAGGTGTCGCGCATCAAGCAGGTGTTTGAGAAGAAGAATCAAAAGTCGGCCCAGACCATCGCCCAGCTGCACAAGAAGCTAGAGCAATACCGCCGGCGTCTGAAGGAGATAGAGCAGAATGGGCCCTCGCGACAGCCCAAAGATGTGCTACGTGATATGCAGCAAGGGCTGAAGGATGTGGGCGCCAACATGCGTGCTGGCATCAGTGGCTTCGGGGGTGGCGTGGTGGAGGGTGTAAAAGGCAGTCTCTCTGGCCTCTCGCAAGCTACCCATACTGCAGTGGTGTCCAAGCCCCGGGAGTTCGCCTGCCTCATTCGCAACAAGTTCGGCAGTGCCGACAACATTGCCCACCTGAAGGACCCTATGGAAGATGGGCCCCCCGAAGAGGCAGCCCGGGCACTGAGTGGCAGTGCCACGTTAGTGTCCAGCCCCAAGTACGGCAGTGACGATGAGTGTTCCAGCGCCAGTGCCAGCTCGGCTGGGGCGGGCAGCAACTCTGGGGCTGGGCCGGGAGGTGCACTGGGGAGCCCTAGATCCAACACTCTTTATGGTGCCCCTGGAAATCTGGACACTCTGCTGGAGGAGCTGCGGGACATCAAGCAGGGCCAGTCTCACCTGGAGGACTCCATGGAGGACTTGAAGACTCAGCTGCAGAGGGACTACACCTACATGACACAGTGCCTGCAAGAAGAGCGCTACAGGTGGGTACCTCTTGGCTTCCCAGCTGCGGGTGGGCCCAGTGGGAAAGGAAGGAAGCTGTTCTGAGCTTTGGAGGCCACTGGAGAAGCATCCAGAAGGGTCTTGCCATGCCAGGAGGAACCCCTGAGGAGCTTTCTCCAGACTGGAACAGGGGTCACTAGATCTCTGGAACAAAGGTTCTGACGGGCTCAGGATACTTTAGGTCAGTGGTTCTCAACGTTCCTCACACTGTGACACTTTAGTACAGTTCCTCATGTTGTGGTGACCCCAACTGTAACATTATTTTCATTGCTTCTTCATAACTTTAATTTTTCCACTGTTACAAATTATTGTAACAGTAAATTATTATTATTGTAAAGTAAATAACTAATATGCAGAATATCTGATATGTAACAACCGTGAAAAGGTCGTTCGACCCCCAAGTTGAGCATCACTGCTTTGGGGTGTTATGTGCTTAACTCACACAAGGGAGACTAAGATGAGAGCCAGCACCAGGTGTGATCTTCTGGAGACTCTGGTTCAGAAAGAACCTTGGAGGCAGCTACCTAGGTTCAAATCCCAGATCTTCCTTATATTGGAGTAACTTAACTGAGCAGCTCACACTCTACACTGTTTTCCTGTCTGTGAAGTGAGGGTAATGCTGACCTGACCTTAGGGAGTGGTCATAAAGAGAAAATGAGTGGACTAGGTGTGATGGCACTTGCCCTTAATCCCAGCACTTAGGAAGCAGAGGCAGTCAGATCTCTGTGAGTTCTAGGCCAGTCAGAGCTACATTGTATACATTGTATTACTGTTAAAAAAAAAAAACTGAGTGAGTCAACCTGTAAATGTGAAGTGGAGATAGATGGACAGTTGGAATGTCTAGGGGGTTCCCGAGGTCAAGAATGGGCTGGAGTTTGGTCCTTCCCCTGCCTCCCTCCCTCTCTCTCAGGGATTTGGGGGACCTTTTTCCTTAGCACTTCTTCTTTCTAGATGATGGCTTGTAAAACTGAGGGGAACCCCATCTAAAGCCAGCCACCCTCACTCTATAGCCATCTTTGGTTACTTGGTGCTTTTCAGAGCAGGGATCACATTCTCTATACTTCCGGGTCCCTGCTACCCACAAAGCATCTTAGAGTTTAGAGCTGGGTTAGAGTCACTCGGTCCTTAACTCCCCATCATGAGCCATGCGATCCCAGACAGGTTCTCATTCTCCCCACCTGTCGATACTGTCTGGTGAGGCTGCAGTGCTGGGCCATGCTTACCACAGGGCTGGCACAGAGGAGAGCGATGCTCTCAACCAGGTTAAGATGAGGGCAGGACTGGACACATGAGTGGGCTGCATGTCACTACCGACAGAGTGGTTTGTAAGAAGTGCTGTCACCTCCTCTTTCCCTACCAGGTATGAGAGGCTGGAGGAGCAACTGAATGACCTAACTGAGCTCCACCAGAATGAGATGACCAACCTAAAGCAGGAGCTAGCCAGCATGGAGGAAAAGGTGGCCTACCAGTCCTACGAGAGAGCCAGAGACATCCAGGTATGGCCCAGGATGTGTGGATAGAACTGTAGACACAGGGTACAGCTGACAGCATTGGGGTGGACCTATCACATAAGGCATGATGAGCAGAGGTTTATCTAAAGCATGGAGGAAAAGGTGGCCTACCAGTCCTATGAGAGAGCCTGAGACATCCAGGTATGGCCCGGGCCTCTCTGGGGATGTCCTGATGTGTGGATAGAGCCGTAGGCCCAGGGTACAGGTGACAGCATTGGGGTGGACCTATCACACAGGGCGTTTATCCATAAATGATGGGCAGAGGTTTATCCATAGGGCAGATAGGTCAGGATGCAGAAGAAGGCAGTGTTGCTGGGGTAGAGATAAGAACAAGGTAAGTCCTTGGCCAAGTGTATGCGTTATGCAAAGGCAAACTGGTAGGCAAGGGCCAATTATGGTTGCCACATCTTTGGTATCAGATTTACAAATGAATTCATTGTTATTCCTGGGCATTTGCCTGCCTCAATATGGAGCTGGAATCAATAAGCAAGACTTCTGCTTCCTTACGTCCTCCTCAGACAGTCGTCAGTCAAGAGTTCTGTCCCCAATTGTAGAAGTGCCCTTCTTGGCTCTGAAGAGGGGCTCTATGTTACCACCTTGGTACAGTGGCATATTAGTGTATTCTTTGCTGTAGCAAATGTGTAAGGTTGAATAATCTGTAAAGAGAAAAGATCCACCCAGCTCTCCCCTCTGGAGACCTAAGAGGATGTCATCCTGACTTTGGAGCTGGTAAAGACCGCATTGCTATAGTCCCCAAAGACAGGGACTGTATAGGAGAGTCACACAGTGAGGCAGGAAGCCAGAGAGATTTGGGGGTCAGACTCTCTCTCATAGGCTCTAATTCTTTACATTACACACACACACACACACACACACACACACACACACACACACACACACACACACAAAGGTTCTGCAACCCTAGCATTGCCATGATAGAAACCAATCTTCCAGCTCACAAACCCTTGGAGATCACATAAAAGCCCTATGGGGATAAGAACAGGCAGACTGGGCTCAGTCTAGGATCTCACCCACCCTGAGCTCCCATACACCACCCTCTGTCCCCTGCAGGAGGCCGTGGAGTCCTGTCTGACTCGGGTCACCAAGCTGGAGCTGCAGCAGCAGCAGCAGCAAGTGGTGCAGTTAGAAGGTGTGGAGAACGCCAACGCACGCGCTCTGCTGGGCAAGTTCATCAACGTGATCCTGGCACTCATGGCCGTGCTGCTGGTGTTTGTGTCCACCATTGCCAACTTCATCACGCCCCTCATGAAGACACGCCTACGTATCACCAGCACCGCCCTCCTGCTCCTCGTCCTCTTCCTCCTCTGGAAGCACTGGGACTCGCTCACCTACCTCCTGGAGCGTGTGCTGCTGCCCAGCTGAGCAGCTGCTATTCCGCACTGTGCTCTCTGGGTTCCACGGGCCACACATCTCCAGGAGGGCCTGGGACTCCTGAGTCCCTTGGATTTTGTCACATGTCCTGTTTGGCCTCTTGCCCAAACTCCCCCTTTGGCAGCTCCTGCCCCTTCTCTGCACTGCATCTGTTTGACACCATCTCTTTTAGCCTGAAGGTTGCTGGGGAGATGGGGGGGGGGGTCGGGGCTGGAGGAAGTGGAGACACTCATGGCCAAATGGAGCAAGGGAGGACACCAGGGCTGCACTGTTTGAATTATTTAGTCACGTGGGACTTTTCTGGGCTGACCTAAGGATGTCCTAGGTCATGAAGGCCCCTAAGATATAAGACCAGTCTCAGTTTCCCTAGGAAAGAGCCCATCCTGGGGGTAGCCATAGTTTCCTCCCACAGAGATGGTCTGTCTGGATATAGCCAGTGGGAGGCTGTGCTGACTGAGTCCAGGAAGGGGAGGGTCCCCAGCCTTGGGACCAGAGGGCAGGCTTGACACAGCCCCCTAGGCGCTCAGCCTGCCCTACCCCTGCTCCTCTCCTCACTGAGCTGATTTGAGACTGGTTTCTGGAGGCTGGGTGAGGTGTGGCTTTGGATTTGTGTTTTCTCTGCCCATCTTTCTCCCTTCACTGGGTGTGCTGTTTTCTGAAAAACAGGCCCAAGTGCCCTGAGCCTCTAACCCAAACCTTTAGGCCTCTGGGATCAAGCTGAGTTCTATTTATTTATTTATTTATTGACTTATTTATTTGTTCCTACCTTTCCCTTGCTTCTGCCCAGCTGGGCTCCAGGGAGAGGACCTGCCCAATCTCCCTCTGCAGCCAGGGCTTATTCTTGGCTCACCACACTCCAGACCATGTACCCTCTGATGTTTCTGGCTGAAAGAAGGGGTACGTGGCCACCCAGCCGGCTCTCCCAAGCAGCCCCACCAGATGGGTGGGAGAACCATGGCCTCTTTTATATATACCTATTTATTTTATACGTGTGTCTTTGTGGGGGAATAGGATGTTTGTTGATTTACTTCTTTAAGGCTCTGGAGTGTTGCATACGATTCTGTACAGCCCAGCCTCCCGTGGGCCCTTCCAAGCACAGTAGAGATTTCTCGGGATGGGAGAGAGGAACCCGTGAAGCAGGAGAAGCAGTGCCTGCCAGCTGTGGTGGACCTTCCTGAGAAATAAATATCCTCTACGTTTTCCAACCATCCTGTCTGGTGTTGATTGGTTAAGCTGTCTCTCTGAAAATCACAGGTTCTCTTTCCCACACTCAAGCATTCCGGGTAGCACAGGCTGAACCTCATCTGTTGGCCTGAATTGTCTTCCTTCAGGAGACAACATCGAATGAGACATATCCACCCTCCAGCCTTGTTCTGAGCAACTTAAGTGAGGTGACTACCGTTACATCTAGCCCAGTTTTGCCAGAGCACTTCCCAGGAAGGATGTGGAGTTAGGACCAGTTGTGGCCACAAGAGGTCAGCAGAGTCCGTACTCCAAAACCTCTTTCAAGCTGCAGTTCCTGGCTTTGTCACTGTGGTCTGGCTGGGGCAGGGAGCACCTGCTTCCCAAGAGCAGTGGTGTGATCCTCCCCATGAAGGTCCAGGGCTTAGTATCTGCCCCATGGTTGGAGCAATCAGTCCTTGCAGCCCCAGAGTGCTTCCTGGCAGGAACTTAGTGGGTACTTACAATAGGACCTTTGAGGAGGATGCAACAAGGAGGGGCTGTGATTAAAAAGAACAAAAACAAACCAAAAAAAAAAAAAAAAAACAGCTGAGAACCTTGAGTCTTGGCCATAACTTGTGCACTGCAACCACCTCCTACCTACTCTGGGCCTCAGTTTCCCCATCAGTAAAGTAGGATGGATGTGGCCACTCTTCATGTCAAGGAGCCCTGGCATTCTGTGGTTCTGAGTTCCACAAGCCAAAATTGCGATTGTGTCTAGGGCTCAAAGGCCTGGAGAGGACACAGTACTGGCACGGCAAGGGGGTGGCATTGCCAGTCTGACTTTGCCCTCTGTGTTAGGTAGTTTTGCCAGACTGCTTTCCAACTATTCCATTCCTGGTCCTTGCGCTCCCAGTTCTCCAACTGCAGATGCACGTGTACCTCCCTTGGGGTTCACAGGCGGCTCAGAGCCCACATTCCAGGGCCACAGGTAGGGGGTGGCCGCTCCTGGCTACAGACATTTCCTACATTCCTCCCAAGGTCAGATGCCGGCTCAGAATTGGCTCTAAATGTCACTGCCAGCCGCAGCCCACACTGAAAGGGAGGAGGAAAGCGAGGCCACTCTTGGCCAGTTCTGAGGCTGCAAAGCAAACAGCCCGAGGGAGGTGGCAGGCCCCCAGCTAAATCTTCTTTGTAGAAGCCAGCACTGGCTTGTTTTCCTCCTCGGGAGTACAATGGTGCATCTAGCAAAACCCTGCTATCCTGGGGCTTGAGGCAGCCCTGTTTGTGTCTGTACTGCCTCTGTAGAGAAGGAGCTAGCGTGAGTTGCCCCCACCTCCTGCTCTCCCCTGAGGTCCTGAGAGTGAGACATTGTGTCAGGGTTACCACTTGTAGTCCGCCTCCTTCAGACTACAAGACCTAGAGGCAGGGCCTTCCCAGAGCACCTGTCCCCACAAGCATTGGTCCCACCCCCAGAGTGCTGCAGAGCTGTCAGACTGGTGGACTCCCACGGCCTGGGTCCCTTATAGTGGGGGCAGATGAAAGAGGAGACTCGGTGCCCCCTGGCTCCTTGGCAGTCAGCTGACCCAGAGCCAGTGTGCTTTGTATCCAGCAGAGCCAGCCCACTCGGCACCCTCGTGGATCCCAAAGCTTCAGCAAGTGCAAGCTTGGCAAACCCGAAAGGCAGCAGGCGGCCCAGAACAACCGCAGGGTATAGCTGGTTTGTCTGTGCAGTGAGGGAAAGCAGGAGACACTGGGGCCACAGCTAAGAGAGGAAGGAGAGCTGTAGCCAGAACTTTAGGGCAGCCTAGCCTCCCCTGCAGTGGCAGGCCCTGGAGTGAATCCCAGATCGGGGCTCAAACCCAGCACAGCCTTAGAACTGTTCCAGCTACTCTCACGCCAGATCCCCATCAGGAAGAATGGAGTCTCCAGCTGGGCAACACCTTTAATCCTATCACTTGGGAGGCAGAGGCAGGAGGAGCTCGGAGTTAGAGGCCAGCCTCTTCTACAAAGTGAGTTCCAAGATAGCCAGAGCTGTTCCCCAGAGAAACTCTGTTTTAAAAAACCAAAACCAAAACAGAAAGAATGGAGTCTGATGGCCAGCTCTGGCAACAGGAGACATAAGTTATGGCATTGCACGCCTAAACTTATGGCACAGGATCGGGAACTGAGTGAAATGACCCAGAGTGATCTCTGCACACTGACCCTGAGTGCAAGGTCCAGAACTGCTTGGAGAAGTTGAGGTGGACTCTGTAGAAATATGCAGTGGGACAGAGGCAACGCCCTGACCTGAAGACCCAGGAGAGGCCCTGATCCCTTTTCTCCAGACTAAGAACCTGTTTATTTGCCTGCGTCTCTCTCAGTATCATCAGCAAAGCAGGGCCCAGTCCCAAGGCTCAGTAGAGGATGAGACGAGGCCTGCCAATCCTGAACCAACATCAGAGCCTTACAAATGTATCAGCGTGAGGCCCTCCCTCCTCTAACAGGTGGGTGTCTAGGAAAGAGGGTGAGAAGTGATGTCGAGATGCCTGGGTACGAGCTAAAACTGCCAGGCCGTGTACCTGAGTTTCCCCGCTTTAAGTGTGGAGCGATGCCTGCACTGCCTTTCTAGGCACAAAGATGTCAAGAGTTCCCCAGTGCCCCCAAGGACCCCTAGGGAGCTTTTTCCAGGAGGGTCCCCAGCCATCTGGGACTTCACCGGGAACTCTGATCTGCCACCAGAGCTGGGCAGGGCTTAAGAAGTAGCCAAAGCAAAGTGTCTTGAAGGCTCATAGCAACCTGCAGATGAACATGGGAGGAGGCAGTGGGCCCCACCAAGGCCTGCTGGGATGGTGTCAAGGAAGAAGAGGAGGCTGGGGCTTGCCCTAGCATATTCAGACGTGTTGGTAAGTCCTGAGTCACCCAGCAGCCAGAAGGGCAGTCTGGGTGTGGGCGGCAGCACCGCCTCATATACACAGAACCTCCAGCAGAGCGCTCCCACACTGGCCGCCCAGCCCTGCCTGACACGGTTCCTGGGTGACAATCCAGATGAAGAATGCTGGACCCAGCGCTGCAGAGCAGGCCACCTCTGCATGCCCCAGCCTCCAGGAAGGACTCATCAAGTTGACTCTGCCTCCAGAAGCACCCCAAGGCCATTCCCCAGTCTGCCTTGAGGGTCCAGGCTCCACATCCGAAGCTTCTTGATTGCTACTTTCCTTATCCTTGCAGTAATTTAGCTCACTGAATCGAAGCTGAAAGTTAGAAATGCCATGGTGAGATGTACACTCTCGCTCTGAGCTACAGGAGGGCCAGGTCCTCCCATCACCACCTGAGCTGAGAAGCCACTAGCTCGCCTCTGGAAGGTCTGAAGCTGTCATTGGAAGTGGTCCTCTGACAGTTTAGCCTCAGACTACTTTAGGTGGAGGCCGAGAGAGAAAGTTTAACTTCCCTTCTAATGCGTTACAAATTCATCCCAGAAACATGTCACTAGCCAACTTCAACCATCTCCCCTCACCTTCTCAGTCTTGAGGGACACAGCCAAAGAGGAAGGTGCTAAGAGGGGTTTCAGTCTTTTCCACTTCTCCCTCTGTGGTTCTTGGGGTTCCCCTCAACTAAAGCAGATGACCTTAAACCACCTAGTCTTAGATTTATTTCAACCCCAGAAATATGGTTTTGAGTACCAGTGCATGCATGAACACCCAGACACAACACACGCATGAATGTATACGTGTGCACACACAGACATAAGAACATATAAACACAAACATACAGATGAGCACACGTGCATCTATGAAAACATGAACACACAAAGATGTGCATGCAAACACACAGAGATGCATGCAAGCATACACATGTGCAGTCACAGAAACAAGCACTCACATACATACATGCCCAAATGCATAAACACATACAAACACAACTATGTGCATGAACACATGCCTGTACAGGCACACATATGTATGTAATTGTGCATACACTGACATATAAACTCTCTCTCTCTCTCTCTCTCTCTCTCTCTCGCACACACACACACACCAGCACGCTCACATGCACACATAGTATACTGATTAGTTTTATCAACTTGACACAGCCTGCGTTACCTGAGGAGACTTTATCTGAGGAGGTCATTGCCTCCATCAGATTGGCCTATGGGCATGTCTGAATGTCTGGGGCGGGGGATTTTCATGACTGATAATTGATTGATGTGCATCTGAGCACATCAACTGAGCAACAACTGAGCAGTGTTGCACTTGGGCTGGTGGTCCTGGGTTGTATAAGAATGCAGGTTGAAGGGCCAGAGAGTCAGCTCGGTGGTTAAGAGTACTGGTTGCTCTTCCAGAAGTCCTGGGCTTGGTTCCCAGCACCCACACAGTGGCTCACAACTGTCCATACTCCAGTTCCAGAGGATTCGACACCCTCTTCTGGAATTCTCAGGCACCAGGCATGCATTTGGTGCACAGATATACATGTAAGCAAAACATCCATATTCATAATATGTATCTATTTTAAATTATTTTTTATTTTAAAAAGTATTTTTAAATATATAAATAATAAACAGTAATTAATAAATTATGTATGTATATATGCTTATTAGTTATGATTTATATATTTTAAATAATTTAAAAATAAAAACAAAATACATTTGATATTATTTATATATTAAATGTAAATAATGTCTTGTTTATATATACATATGTTGTGTGTATATACTTTATGTATGTTTGTATACATATATACGTATACATTTTTTTCTCTTGAGTTTCTCTAATACTTTGTTGCAGAAAATTGAGCAAGAAAGTTCTCAGCCTTTCCTTAAAAGAAAATGGAATCTTGCCCAGGCATCACAAGTCTAATTATACCTCAGAGGAGGCTAAGGCAGTAGGATTGCCATAAGTTCAAGGCAGTCAAAGCTACATAGTGAGACCTATCTAAAACAAAACAAAACAAAACAAAGAGAGAAAGAGGAAGAGAAAAAGAAAGTTTGAGTCAGGCGTAGAGTTGGTAAAAATGTGTTTTGTTTTGTTTTGTCTTATTACTATGTAGCCCTGGCTGGCCTTGAACT